GCGGCTTATTTGGATAAGCACAAGCTGCCCCAAATGCACCCTAAGTTTAAGATATATCTTGTCTGTAGTGTGTACAAAAAGATATCAATGGAGAGTTAACTTTAAAATCTTTGAAAAATTCTTTTGAATGAAATTAAGATTGGACTTAGGCTAAAAAGCTTTCAAGAAATTTTGATGAGGAAACATATCTTGAAAATCTACTCATTAAACAAGGTCTAAATAAGCAGGTGAAGATTCAAAAATGAAAGAGATAGCATAGGACCCAAAGTTCCAGATCAATTTAGTGGACCCATAAAAAATCTGATGGAAGGATGAGTGACTAAACTTATTATAAAAGATGAAAAGGTGAACAGATCCCCAACGGAGTCGCCAGAAGAAACCTTGATTGAAGATTTTTATTTTTTTTAAGGACCATCATAAATCTCGTAAGATTCCTGTCTAAATGATCAAATATGAAATTCAAAGAGTGATATACTACTTGGAGAGAGAAATATTACCTCAGAATGGATCCAATCATTTGGTTGAGGGAAATATTTGAGGCCTATGGAACAAGGATTCTTCCCTTACTTTATAAGTGTAAGACAAGGTTTATATTAATTATGGGGTCTCGCTCCTATAAGGGTAAGCGCTCGTAGTTAAAGAAATCTTTAGAGTCGTGCGCAAGACATCTTTAGAGGCGTAAGCCCTAAAGAAAACCCCTCAATTAATACAATATGTCAAATCATTAGAAATCAGAATTTCATGATTAAAGGGTTCAAATTGGAAGAATTAAGTCCAAAGAATGAGACTTACAATCTGATGACAATACGTTATGGGAAAGACCCAAGGCATTGAATATGATGTAATTTTAAGAGTATAAATCGAAGGAACTGGTGACGAATTTGAACTGATATATGAGATCAAATGATAAATGATGGATATAGGATTTGACTGACAGAGACAATTGAAACCTTCGACTAAGGATAAGAGTCAGTTAGAAAAGAATTTCTAGATGAGAAATAAGATCCTAGACTATGCAAAAAGTTGTATAGGCGGACAAAACTAAGTTTAAGGAATAACATCCCCGATCAAGATGTCCATAGCTTTTCGTCATCTCGAGAATATTGATATCATTAGACTATGACCATCCTCATAACCAAGAATCCTCCTTGAATGTCAGAGCATGGAGGATTTGTAGTTTCAAATTAGTCTGAAATACATTCATCAGTAACCATAGATTACCTCATTCTAAGGTATTCCCTCTAGTCTCAAGGGGGTATGTTTGTTATTTTGCTTGTTCTAGTCCATAGTACTAGCTAGGTGCTTGAACTAACCTAGGTTTTTATACTCAGATTAACCTATGCTAGGTGTGTGGCCCTTGGTTTGATGTCTGTTAGCTATCCTAAATTTTATGTCAGATCTGCTTAGGTTTTGTTCTCATTCTTTAATTTGGTTTGCTTTAGATGTTCATTTAAAGCTTAATGTTTGCATTAATATTTTGTTTGATTCCTAGATTTTGTAAGTCATATTGAGAAATCATAATTTTCTAAGTTTTGGTTTTTTTTCTTTTATTTGTTTAATTTGAGATTTGGTTTCTTTTAAGATTTGTAGACAAAACTGAGTTCTCATCCTAGTTTTTGTTTTTTATATTTTTATTTTTTTTGTTTTTAAACATAAAATAACACATAAAATAGCATTTAAAACACAAGATAACATGTGAAACATGAAATAATATATGAAACATGAGATAACATGTGAAATAGCATATAAAACATAAAATAACATGTATTTTTAACTTTGGATTAGACTTGGGTTAAAGTCGAGCTGAGGTAAGTTGATTTTCCGGTTTAAGTTATCTCAAAATTGAGCTAAGGTTTGAAATGAGTAAGCTAATTTGGGTATGGGTTGGACCTAGGCTTGCTCGCATTAAGTTGGGTTTGATTTAGATTGACCAAGGTTAAACTGGGTTGAACCAGATTGAACTACGTTGATTTGGCTTTGATCAAAGTTAAGCTTGGTTGACTTGGTTGGCTTAGGTATGATTTGGGTTTGACCCGGGTTAAGCTGGGTTGACTCGGTTTGGCTTAGGTTTGATTGGTGTTTGAGCCCAGTTAAGCTGGGTTTGGCTTAGGTTTGGTTTAGCTTAAATCTAAGGTTAAGTTTGACATCTGGTTTAGGTTCAGGTTTGCGCTAGATTCAAGTTTAGGTTTAGGGTTTAGCTTAAAGTTTATTCAGCTCTATGTTAGCTTGAATCTGAGTTAAGTTAAGGCTTGAGTCTAGTCCAATTTGGGTTAGACTTAGGATTGGGTTACGTCAAGTTTGGGTCAGATCTAGGTTAGGTCAAGGTTTAGCTCAAATCTGAATTAGGTCTGACTTGAGGTTTAGATTGGGATTTGGGTTAGATCTGGGTTGGATCAGGTCTAGGGTTTAAGTTAGGTTTTGGGTTAGATCTGGGTTGGATCAGGTCTAGGGTTTAGGTTAGGTTTTGGGTTAGATCTGGGTTGGGCCAGGTCTATGAGTTAGGTTAGGGTTTGGCTAGGTTTACGCTAAACCTAGGTTGGGTTAGGTCTAGGATTTTGGTTAGGTTTAGGCTATGTTAGTTTAGGTTAGATTGGGTTCAGCTTAACCTAAGTCGAACCCAAAGCCAAGCCTAATCCAAGACCTTTGAGTTGATTGACCTAGTTTTAAAGCTTTTAAATAAAAGAATGATTAATTTAAGAGGGGAAGGAAGGAGAATTTACTGGGAGGAGAGGAGGCTGATCGGACGAGGAAAAGGAGGAAGAAGCCGTCAGGATCCTTTCTCTGTTCTCCTTCTACACTTCTTCTTCCTTTGCGAACATATCCGTCATTAACCAACATACCCATCCAACTAACCACGCACAGATCCGTCTGCGACATCTCCCACAAATAATAAAAAAACATAAAATCCCTAGATCTAGAATGGGTAAACACAAAAAAAAGAAAATTTGAATCAAAACCCTGAATTTGAAAAGGAATGCATGCTTAAACATTGCTCTAACCATGAAAGTCGAATGATTGAAGAGAAACCTAAAAAGAAATGATAGAGGATATGACCTAATCATTGAGAGCCGAAGATCGGCAATGTGAGATGTTTTATCGATCGAAGGAGAGGTGAGTGGAGCTTAGACCAAAGGATATGCAACAGAAACCTGACAAAGTAGCGAAGGGAAGGGGATCAGGATTTGCTGAGTCTAAGGTCTTACCTTGTTTTCAAAGTTTTCTAAACATAGAAAACACATTTCACATGTTCGACTTGTTTAAAAACAGTTTATTTGTGTTTAAAAAAAAATTAAAAAACAGATGAAAAAACAAGTAAATAAACATTATTTTTCTATTTGCTCTCTATTTTTTATTTTCATAAAAAAATCTAAAATAAAAAATAAAAATTGATCTCAAATAGACGCTAAGGAGTCCAAGAATGGTATTAAATTAATTAAAATCAAACAAGCAAATTTATATATAACACGCACGCGCATTATACATACGTTCGTGTTTATATATAGTTTCTTTAACAAAGATCCTTTATTCCTTCCTCTCCTGATCTTCTATTTCCTCCCAGATTTTTTGCAGCAACAGCCAGCCGAGAGAGCTCCAGCTCTCGATTTCGCATTCAGCTCCTCGCCATCTCCCATTGCAGTACCAGGATGGGAGAAATGCAGTGATAAGAAAGGAAAAATAAGGGAACTTGAAATGCTCGTCATAATCTATACATTTACAAGCTTATCAATTAATCCCAACCCTCCAAAATACCAATCCTTTGCATGTGAATATTAATGGGTTGCAACATGACTGCTACAGTGATCATACTGCTAACAATAACTAATAGCTTTAATTAGATGATTAATTTTATATGCTAATATATATATAGATTCTAAAATAGTCAGAAACAAACTGAATTAGTCAAAAACTGGACAGTAAATTGCGTACTATCATCAACTGAACCTCATCTCCACTCTCGCCATCACTAGGATTGCTGAGTAAATTAACTTGTATGAATTTCAATAAACAAATACTCATCTAAAATGAAAACATATTTTAATGCCATAGCAAAACATAAATACAGAAACAATAAAAATAAAAAAAACTAAAAAAATTTGAAATCAATCACAAGCAGCCTATAAGTATATATTAGTTTTAACCATGTTGGCATTTTAGCCTTTGATCTAGATTTCTATTATTATCAGCAAAGTTTCTGAAGTGTGGAACATAAACTCTATTTCTAATACTAAAAATTTATAGCAAATTTATTATTAAAGTTTAGTATAAAAAATTGTAACATAAACAAGAGTTCAAGAAATCAAAACTGACTCAATTTACAACATTTATCCTACTGCAGGGGTGTGGTCCTAGTGAAGCATCAATTCAAAATCCCAAGGATAAAGAGACGTTATGTTAAGATTGGCCAACTCGAGACTTGTTAACACTGACAGGGAACTTTATCAATTGAACATTGCTATTTACAAAATCTAGCACCCACAGATATTTTTGAACAACCGAACCAATGTTTTTACACGTGTCACCATCAAATCATTGACAATTAGATAAAAATGAAAATATGGGTTTATTTTTATCATAAGTTTTGATAGTTGAGTGAGAATTTGAGAAATGGATAAAAGTGACTGCTAAATTTGTAAATAGCAATGTTTCAGATGCTATGTCTGAAATTGCCCCTTTATTAAATTGTCTACAACAACAGGTAACCAAATTCAGCGACCTCAACATTTCACTAGGGACAGGGAATATGCTTTTACTGCAGAATAAAGCTCAAGCAATACTTTAAAGAAATAAAAATAGCATAGTCAGAATACAAGTCGTAAGAGTTGCTATAGTTGAGTGCTTCACAAAATAAAAATAAAATAAAAATGAAAAACTGTGAGTAGGTAGGGCGTAATGAAACATCAATATTATTTCCCAGAAAAATACGAAACAACAATATTATAAAAAATTAATAAACAATGACTGCTGAAC